AAAATTATTATGCTGTTATTGTTATGTACTGGTGAAGTACTAGGGATTGAAATCCAGACTTTCCTCTCTCCATCTCTTCACTGCTCTCCTTCTCCCTTCAATTCTGAGACAGGCTTTCACTAAGTCCTTAGACTTCTCAGGTTAAATTCCAACTTGCAATCCTCCTGCCTCAGCCTCCCAGTGTGCTGGTGTTACAGTCATGCACCAACGCAGTCATTTAGAATTTTAATAAAGGGAAGTATATGAAGAAAATATTCCAAAAGACTTTTCCACATACTTGAGAAGACTGATGAAATTGTTACCTTTTTTTTAAAAAAAATGCTTCAAAGTGTGGATTCTAAGAATGAATTATTAACAAAAGAGGAAAATCCAAAATGGCCCATTTGTTATCTACGTTACTACTTCTAGCGCTCTGTCTTCCACTTTAGTGCACCAAAATAAAAATAATTTATAGAAGGCTGTCAGACTTTGCAAATCCTGAACAATGCTCAACAAGCAGAAATGTTTTATGGCCTGAAGAAATCCCTTGAATTTCCTGCCTCTTCTCAAATTAGTCTGCTTCTAAACTTGTATCCTTTAGGACTGATCTTATTTCTTAAAAAAACAAAGAAAGGAAAAAGGCTTAAGTATGAAGTAACTTAAGCTACATATTTTAAAAATCTGTACAATTATACCAAAGAAAGAGGAGAAAATATTTTTCTACTTCATTTGCTTTCTTTCATATAACTAGATTTCAATGAATTTTTACTCATCAATTGTATCACTTTGTTTCGTTCCACTAAGACTAAACACATGGCTTTCTACTGAACTACGTGCCCAATCTCTTTTACATATTTGGCTTGATACATGGTCTTATTAATTTGCTAAAGCACGACTAGAACTTGAAATCCTCTTACCTTGATCTTCTAGATTACTAAGATTACAGGTATGCATTGCCATACCCATCTGAAATACTGAACCTTAAATTGAAAGACACTACTATATTTTAACTATTTAATTGTTAGTCTCAATAATAAATGTCTATCTTCTACAATAAGGAGAATGTGATATAAACTTATCTCTATTATACATTTAATTTTTCATGATTTAAAAATTAGATAAATCCTGTAATTAACAGATGTCCATGTTAAATTATAAGCAAGTTAAAAAATATGCACCAAAACATGTGGACAGTGGCAACAACTTGAAGAAAACTAAAAACTTATTATGCAGGAGAGAGTAACACTATAAATTAACATCACTGGATAAATATGTGTGGAGTAAACAGGGAGGTACAGCTTCAAGAAATTGTGAGCCCATTAATATAATTCAAATGACTATTATTACTCCCTATTTCATTATATTTAGACTGAAGGAAAACATTAGCAATGTTTTTAATTCCAGAAACCTCTAGAGAACCCAGGAAGTTTACCAAAAAATGGAAAACATTAAGATCATTTTTAAAAGAAATGATATGTGCCTTACCGAAGTTATTCTCAGCACACATCTGTGACAATCTTCTGATTGCAATTGAAGTTTATAACCTTAGAAACATTTCTGTTTACCTTGGGACAATAGAATTATGTGTCTATACTTGATAATAAACTAACATACTTTTCATTTTAAATTTGAATGTATTTTAGTTAAAATCCCCTTAGGCTCAAAAGCTTACTATGATTGTTCACTTTAGAATGAAGGCATTTTCTCAGCAGTTAGTATTTCCAAACTCTAAGGCCAATAAAGCCACTGGTCTTTAAGCTAGCAGTGATATATATATATATTATATATATATAATGGAATTGATAGGAATTGATAGCTATTGATAGGAATTGATAGCTATTTAATAATGAGAAAAACATAAAATGTTTAAAACCTACTGATGTTTAAGATTCCAGATCACAATGTTTTTCATCACATAAATGAATTTTATATCTATTTTTAGTATCAATGATTTCTTAAGAATTGCTGCCCATTGAATAATTTAGTTGGTAGGCAGCAAATTGTATACAAGAAGTTCAAGCATTAAATGCCATAAACATATAATTAATTTCTCTACAAATGTTTCTAAGTAAAGCTACTTGTTTAATACAGATATGAGTAGTGAGAAAGTTACAGGGCTATTATGAGGGACATGATAAATGCAGTCATGAATAAAAACAATTTTTAATTTAGTAGACTATCAATCTAGAAAACCCATGAATATTTACTCTTAATTCACTAACCTGAAAAGTAGATAAACACTTCATATAAGAGAAAGAGCATCATACAAAAGACACTAGAATGGTATCGAAACCTATTAAAATGTTCATGATTACATATTGACATTTAAAATTGATGACAGTTTTACACTTCTAAGTAGAATATTAATGAGTTATTTTCCTTTATTAAATATATATTAAAATGTTGGGAAATAACTGAACTCTGGTTAAGGCCCTTGTTCTGACAGTGAAATCCTTTACAAAATCTTGACATAATAAAGGATGCTACCATTATTATATCTTATACACATCTGCCTCCTGGTCAGAACGTTGTGCTACTTCCTATAAATATATTATATTCAACGTCAAATAATTCCACTAATTGCCTTGCTATTTGTCTGTAAATAATGTAATCTTCATATATTCTAAATCTTCTGTGAGAACCTTTCAGTAATTCAACTCTGACTGATATGCACCCCTAGAGTACTGTTTAGAATAAATGCAATACTTCATTGACTGCAAATTCAGTCTACTGGTGTATGTTCAAGAATGAAGGAACAATTACAGAAGAATTAGACAGAGGCTGTAGTAGAACTCTGTGTACAGGGACAAAAGAAAAACAAAAAGGAGGTCACTAGATCGAGCTGGTACTTCATTTTTTTAAAATGAAAATTTATGATAACAAACATATGACAAGTTAGATAATTAAATTTATGATCCATGAAAAAGTAATAGTTATAAAGATTATAGAGCAACTCAACCTTGAGTGTATGGTTGTTCCAAGTACTGCACCAAACTGTTTTTTCTTTAATGTATTTAGTACAAGGTCTACAGGGTCTCATTACACAGTTGGGACTCACAGTGATCCTCCTGTTCTCAGCGTCCCAAGCTCTGGGATTATAGGCATGTGCCACCATGCCCAGCCTCAGTCGCTGTCTCAGGGCATCCCTGGGGGCAGGGCCAGCAAGGCCCTCTGGGGATTGAACCCCAGTCCTAGTATCTCCCTAAGCAGGCACTTTAGTCTACTGAGCTATCTGGCCAACTCTCCTGCACCAAAAATTTTAATGAGATTCATTGTTCTACTGATGGTGTTGGTTGCATCTGAGGTATCCTCTCCACTATTTCTTAACTTATTTTTCATTCCCAGCCCTTCTCCATCAAAGTTTTAAAAAATAACTAAACCCTAATATTCTGACATCATTTGTATATCACAATTCATTTCCCTCACATGTAAATCATGCTTAACTGGAAAAATCAACATCCACAAAAACATTCAGAAAAAAAATGAGTCATAATTTTCTGTAGGGACCTAATTCTCTCCCTGACCCCTTTAGGGAACCACTGATTAACACATAGAGTCAAGTCTTATACTTAAATATTACTTAAAACTTTACCTCCTACAATACTTTATCACTGCTCATTTTCATTTTCACCCACTGCTATGTAAGGATTTTTAATAAATATAGAATGTGTAACTTTTTTGATGTTGAAAGGAGAGCTCATGAAAACATTACAATGAGATGTTTAGAGCCCAGCTGGGTAATAACATAATACCAAAACTTAAGTAATTAAGGAAGTTCTTTAATGCTGTTAATTCTCTACTATGTCTACATTTTAACCCATTAATACTGAGGGAGGATTGTTATTTTGTACCTGACATTCCATAAAGCAAATAATGTAATTTGTAGAAGCGCAGTATTTTCTCCCCAAGGGATTTGGCAAAGCTAGTGTCATATTGAATAAAACATGCTTTGCGTGCGCATTTTTTACTTTTTGTACATAGCTTTTCCTGGGGAATGATTATTCTTCTTTAGTCTCTCTTAAAGCACTTCTTCCTATTGAATAATTATTCAAATACCCAATCTTTAAATGTGTTTTGACAGTTGGTTAGTTGTGTTCTTTGTAGAACCATGGTCTCAAACATGTTTTTGTCGTTTACAGTGCTGGGCGTTGAACCCAGGCCTACTCAGGCAAGTGTTATCCCAACAAAGCTGTACCCCAGTCCCAAAAAACATAATTCTTCTTTTCATTATAATTATTTGAGATTTATATTCAAAAGGACAATTTTCATTTATAATGTTTGTAATAATTATTTTAAAATAAAAAGGTAGAGAGACTTCTATAGTCACAATTGAATACCTATAATTCCAAAATACACATTTATGTCTTTTAGTATAAATTTCAAGTATACATACTAAAATAATAGCAAAATTTCTTCCTAATGTTATTTCAAAAAATAAATGGTGAAAATATACATAAAATATATTGTTAGGTTTTGGGAAAAGGTTAAGTTGACACAGAAAAAATAGCGCATAAGTAGGAAACATAGATTCGCACAATCTGGGCTTTGCCATTTGTTGCATATACTTTTAAAAGAATTACTGGCCCACTCACTAATAAGACTGATTTATACTTCTTTATGGATTTAATAAAAATGTATCATTGAATCCAAAAAGACTGATAATAATCTTTCATATATTGTTCTCCTATCATTCAAAGTACAAGGATAGTGGCCTCGAAGGCACTAAGAAAGACAAAATGAAAATCTTCTGAAACTCAGAGATAAGAATTAAGACAAACATTTCTTTCTAAAGCATACTGAGAATCAGTTCTCACCTACCTTTTTATAAGAGAAAAGCCAAAATGCAGGAAGTTTTCATTCAAGCTTTTTATACGTTGAGCAGACTTACTTATTCATACCTAACACATTTTTAAAATGTTTTTGTGATATTATTTTTCATGATGCAGAACTATACTTTATTCTATAATCATGATCTAGTTCATATACTGAGCAGTAAGGAAAGGCCATGTAATATAAATTACCTTTTTCAATGTGCATCCTCTTGGACTCATGTGCCATGTCGTGACCAGCCACATCTCCCTCCTTTGGTCCAGGAAGTACGTTTGGTGATAACCCCATTAGCATCTGGTTCATGGACAGCCCATTCTGATGGACAGCTGCGCACGCCAAAGTGAAAGAGCGAGGGCCAAAACACCGCAACAGGAAAGATGCAGACAGTTCAAACTCTTTTAGACTCACAAGTAAATAAGATACAAATGATCTAAGTTCAAAATTGTGTCCTTCAATAGTAATTTATCCTTGAAATTATAATTATCCTATAATCAGTGACAACTGTGCTAATATTAAGGAGAAGCAGAAATATTGAAAACACTACCATTTTACTTTTTGTGTCACACAATAAAATATTTAATGGTTAGAATAGTTACAAATAAACATATTACTAGAACTATTACCAATGAAATAATCTTTTAATTTGGAGCATGAAATTCTCTCCTCAGGAAATAACTCCATAATTCTATTACAGCTACAATCTTATCATTAGAGTGCTATTTTGATGAGGTTTAAATTTAATAAATATATTGTAGTGCCCTGCAAGGGAAAATAAGAGTTTTCTACTAGTTAAGGCATTGCAAAATGGTCTCAATATACTTACATTCTTATTACATTGTGTTCTAATCAATAGAACACAAAGTGTAACAGGTATCAAAACATTTCTCTAAAAATGCTTTTCAACTCAATCTTGAAAATAAAAGTAATCAATGAATTACTATTGACTAGCTGGATAAACAAAAACAGTAATCTTTTTCCTGAACTGTTAACAGTAATGTTACTTTTGAAATGGTAAAACAACAGTGCTACTGAAATAATTAAATATTTGTAATTTTATAATTTCATTAAGAAATTCACTTAATGAAATGCAGATGAAACTCTTGGTTTTGTGCAAAAATTTAGAAGGAACGATATTTATGTAAACCTTACTTTCCTTGGGAAGTAAATATTTTTTAAGCGTTATGAATTTTCATTTAGCAACCAGAATTAGTAATAACTACTTCAAGAATCAATGATAATTTTTAACTGTATAGGTAGAAGTTTGATGAATGGAATAACAGAATACATACATCATCTTAAAATATTTCCTCACACAATGTATAGTGTCTTCAAAAGTAACACGGTAGGTACTGGCATGACAGCTCAGCTGTCGAAAGCACCTGCTTAGGCAGAACGCAAAAGCCAGTGTTTGATCCCCAGTGTGCCGTGCTGGCCCCGCCCCCAGGGCGCATGGAGATGATGCTTGAGACTGGGCGTGACAGCACGCGCCTGTAATCCCAACGCTTGGGAGGCTGAAAACAGAAGAACCACTGAGTCTGATCTATGTAGAGAGACCCTGTAGACTCTATCCTAAAACAAAAAAGTAACACTATAGTAAAGAAACCTGGTAGTCATCACCTTAACAGAATGATAAATGTATCATCAGTAATATAAAGATCATGTTTCCTGAAATGATTCACTGGGAAGATACCATATTGTGGCTGTGTGACCCCTGTCAGAAATGCATAAGCCAAAACTAATCATGAGAACTACAAAAAAAGTCCTGCTTAGGAACATACGTAATAAATGCCCACTTGGATGAAATTCCAGCACTGAAGAGGCTAAAAGAGGAGGATCACTACAAATCCAAGCCACGTAGTGAGACCTTGGATGAAACACATTACGAATTAAATAAATGCCTACACCCATCAAAATTACTAAGGTACTTAAAATAAAAGACTTAGGAATTATTCTGATTTCTTTAAAAGAAATTAAGGGAATATGACAGGTAATTGCAGTGTGTATGATAAATTAGCTCTGGAAATAGAACAAAAATCATCTTGTAGCTCAAAATATTAATGTGAAAACTGGTGAAGTTTGAACTGTCTAAAGTTTAGATAACAATATTATAATGATGTTTCTCTTTAAATTTTAATCAGTGGGGCTGGGGAGACAGCTCAGTAGAATAAGCGCTTGCTTAACAAGCACAAGGGCCTGAGTGCAATCCCCAGTTCCGCTAAATAAATAAATAAATAAATAAATAAATAAATAAATAAATAAAGTTTGATCATTTGTGGTTATAGAAAACAAATATTCTGCTATTAGAATATAAACAGGGAAATATTTGTAGCAAAGCTCTATGTCCAATAGCAATTTTATCAGATACTAACTGACTGATTGATTGACTGACTGATTGGGTGACTCTGAGTGGCAAGTATGTAGGAATTGCATTGTTAAAGTTGCATGAATAGATAACAAATGTGTTGCAAATTTTCCCCAATATATCCCTAGTGTGACTTACTTCCTTTCATCACATCATGAATGCATGTAGATAGTAATTCTTGGAAAGTTTCTGAAGTAGTGGGAGCTGAATACCATCAATCGAGAAAGTTACTGATGGTTTGGGAGTAGTTACCAAATGACACATTTTTATTGATAATTAATTACCATGCTGTCATTAAATTAAGAAATTAAGTAAATATAAATCAAGTATTATGCTTAGGATTATGTATAGTTATACAATTGCTAATAATTATAATTGGCCTTTTATTTACAATTTTAGCATACATAATTCTTCACACTTTATACTGTCACTCAGTACAATCCAGATTAAGGAGTTTTGCATTTTGCAAACATTCCTTTACAACCTAATAATACACTTTGAAAAAACATTTTCTGTTAGGGAGATATTTTCAAGAAATAATAAAATTCAATAAATTTGTGCAAATAGCTAAAATTTATACTATAAATCTGATTTTGTAAGATAATAAATATACTATAAAATAACATAATGCGTATCTTTTTTTCTACCAAGCTCGTCATTTTATTTTTTTATGCTCATCATTTTAAATGAATCCATTTTATTGAAAAGAGTTCAATTCTTACACAAACAACTATTATATAGCTTCTTACTTTACTCAATTTTTTAATCTATAGGGACCAAAATAAATACAAATCGGTGATGAAATAAGTTTTTAGTAACATATAATATAGTAGTTTTGACCAAATTCTAAACCTAGCCAAAGTTTTTCAATTCGTTGATCATCTGAATATATCTCTATCTATATATCTATATATCTATATAACATATCTATATCTACCTATTCATTGTTTTAATCAACTATCTTGAATTTAATTTTTCCTACTTCTTCTTGTGGAAATATTTATTGCTGCAATGATGAATTTTTAAAGTTGGTGAATTAGAAGAGTAAAGAAATGGGAATGAAGGTATAAAGTTAAATAATAGATAAATGATACCCTCGCCAGATTTCTGAGAAGAGGCTCTTTACTTCAGAAAGTAATCTAGAAGGTGACTTGCGTTTTCTGTTTCATAGCTCAACTCTTTATGTCTAGCATCAAAGAGAGAAAGCTCCTATCAGAACCTGTTAATGTCATATCATACTTCACCATATTCCAAACTGGAAAACATAATTTTGAGAGATGGCTTTTGCTACAGAGCTTCAGAACACGATATAGCCGAGAGATCTATTTGGAACGAGGGCATTTTGATTAGAAAAGCCCGCGGCACCTAATACAGTGTAAAACGGTGACAAGGAGAAGTATGAGACCTACGGATTCTGTCCGAAGAGCTCTCGGTCCGTGCTGGGGAGCTGGACACGCTGCTGCTGCGGTGTGAGGACGGGTGACTGCCAGGCCTTCGACCCTCCTCCAGGGAGGGCGCGGGGGAGGGGCTATCAGGAACTCGCTCCTACACCACCAGGGGAAGAGAGGAAGGAAAGCAAAAGCTGAGTTAAGTAGATCACGACTAATCACCTCTTAGTTTTTCTTAAATACAGTAAGAAACGTGGAGAGAAAGAAACATTTTGCTAGCAATGAACCATACTAATTTTTTAATTTTGAGCAAAGCCTAAACTTCAACTAATTTGATATTCTTCAAAGCATTGATCAGATGGAAGACTAAAATTTTGTTAGCACAGTAGGGTGGGAATGCATCTGAATCTACTTTCTACAGCTAAGTTCACTGTGCTTATGGTGGAGGTCAACCTACAGTCTGGAGAAAAAGTGTCCCTGAAGAAGACAACCAAAAACATCCATGAAGAAAATTTAAAATTTGGTTTGCTGTTTCAGCGAGCATCTGAAGAGCACAACACATAATCTTTCAGTGTGACAGACACATCATATATCCACATGCAATACACAGACTAGCAACAGTAATACCAGACACCTTGACAGCTATTTCCTTATGACATACGGAGACAGTCACAATTTGAGGCATCACACAAAGCGAATATTATTTAAAGTTGCAATTTTCATTGATTCAAATAATTTCCAGAGCACTTCTGACCCCTATTCTCCATTTGAACCAAACAAATAGATTAAGGGAAAAGACATGTCATGGGAATTAGTTGTGTTTAGGGAAAAATTGAGATCATATTTCCTGTACTATTGTATGTAAACACACATCCAGACTAAACTTCCTCCAACTAAGTTCAGTATCTTTGAAATAAAAGTTACACACAGGTACAGTGTATACATGCCTCCAATAAGCTATTACAAATGCAGGTATGGAGTTAGAATTAACAACTAACATATGAATTTATTAGCATGATGTACTTTGAGCAAAAAGATATGTATGTTTTCAATTATTAAGCACATAGACCTTGATCAGTTGTCTTTATAACAATATATATATATATATATATATATATATATATATATCAACTAATATATATATTAAGTATAGAGGCAAGGCTCCATATGTATTGTAATAAGCACATTATTATTTAAAAGGGTAAAATACAAATATTAAAAATTGAAAAAGACAACAAATTTTAAAATATAATTGACTTGCAGGGTTTAATGTTTCCAAAATAAAAATGGTTTATTAATATGGAAAGAGGAAACTCAAGGTTTTGTCCAGCCAATAAGCAAGGAGATGATGCTTATCTTTGGCCACAGCAGGTCCAGTTAATGATGCTCCACCATTCTCATGCACCACAGCGGGTCACCTGCAAGTTCTTAAACATGCCAGTGCCTGGGCTTTCCACTCAGAGATCTGTTTCATGAGTATCACTGCCAAATTCTGTCCCCAGAATAGACATGTTACAGTCCTAATCCCACGGATTCTTTTCCATAAGATTTTAGCTACTAAATCATGTAAACATTAAGGCAAATATTGGCGCTGTGCAGCTGCCAGCCAAGGAGGTCAGGGATGGCCAGCCCACACCAGGAAGAAGGAGAGGCAAGGAAGGATTCCATGTAGCATCTCAGAACGAGTATGGTCTTCCTGACCTCATCACTTTGGACTTTCAGATTGCAGAAATGTGACACGGGTATATTTTTATTGCTTTCACCCACGCAGGCTATGGTTCTGTGTCACAGTAGACTTAGAAAATAAAATAGTACTAGGTGTCAAGTGGTGCCCACACTTTCTAAAGGTTCTGCAGGTGATGGATGTCTAATAAAAATCAAGTACCACTGAAAACATAATCTGTAACTTTGTCACTGCTGAATATTGTCTTCAAAATTCTCTAAAAGATATCTAGAGACTTCATCTCTGTGCAGCATGACAAAAAAAATAAGCAAACAGGTCAAGCCCTCTTCCAAAATCCATGTTGTAAAATGATTTTTCAATACAATAAAAAATAGTTCCATAAGAAATCATGACAAAAGACTTCTATTATCCAACAATAATGTAAAGAAAAAAAGTTCTCTGGAAAGGTACAATGCATATGGAGTTAGAATGATCACTTTCTGAAATTTAGGAGATTTTAGACTGGTCTAAACTAAAGAATTGTGTTCTTAAAGGATAATAAAAGATTCCCAAAGTACAGATGTGTTATCAATTTTTTACATAGACCCACCACTTTACTTTGATTGATAAAATGTTGAGTTAATAACTCCTTTTTCTACAAGTAGCAAAATTGAGTAATATTTAAATAAATATAAAAAACATATACTTTTCAGTGCAATTTCTGTGAAATTTTCATTTGAATATTGAAGTGATCATTGACTAGGGGAAGAATAATAAAAAAATGGGAGGAGACATCACACTCATACACAAAACTTTACAATTTAACAAGCTTAAGAATATTTATGGTATGTCACGTATTTCATAGAGTATAGTATATTAAGGAAAAATATCAGGCAACAATAAAATTTGTAGATTAAACTGCTTTGAAATCTCTACAATCACTTCACTAACCTGATTATTTTCCTGTCATAATAGGTTTCTTGCAGTGTTAATGAGAATCAAGAGAATGTTTTATTTCTGAAATACTTAATTCACAGAACTTAAACATTTATTTGTAAGACTCAGCAACAATGGTTCTGCCATTATAAAGAATTCTTTATCTTAACATTTCCCAGATAGGTATAGAAGAGGTTATATTAGTCAATTTATTTAATTGTGAAAGTTTCCTGTGGTGATTCCTTTAATTTATGAATTATTTACTCATTCCTTTCTACATTCAAAATGCTGTGAAGATCACATAATAAACTAAATAAAAATAGATTAAATCATAGTGTAAAATATATTTTAAAAGCAGTTTAACACTTAGAAAATAATGGTACAATTGTAGTATTAGTCTTAGCTTACCTTTAATTGTAGTTATATAATTAAGAACAAAGAACACAAAAACAATACATAACGCTTTTATTTAAAGAAAATGTTTTAATTTATGCAAATTTCATGATTTAAAAGCTTAATTATTCAATTGAAACTTTCTATAAATTGAGACAACATATTCAGTCATTTCATTTAATGCACAATTTCAATCTTTGAAACATGATGTATTGTTCTTTGAAGAATTTCATTAAAGTAAAATCCATTGAGCAAGTAAGATTTGAATACATTCTTGCAGAATAAATTAATTTATTTTAACAGCTTAATTCTTTTATCATATTTATATGCTTGCCTTTCCAGAGTATTCTATAAGATGGAGAATAATGGAGACAGTAAAGAATTGCTTAGGAGAGAATCTCGTAATTATTAGTGAAACAAAATAGATAATGAGTTTTATTCAGACATAATAACAAAGAACTAGTTCCATGTCCATAGGGAAACTACGTAAACTGGATTTATCATTTCATTTGTGTAATGCCCTTTAACCTCCAAGATAGGTCTGAAGTAGAACACAGAGGAAGAATATTTAATTTAATACTTCAACACACTGCTTTATAGTCCTGCATCAACTCCACCAATCAATAAAACACAATCTTTTGCAATGTTCCATCTTTATAAAACTCGCCACAATAATAAATGAAAATTTAAGAGGAGTTCTCTTGCACTGAAAAAAGGTCATACTAATAAACTAATGGTACCAGAATAACAATAAAGGGAAAGCCATCTTTATTGACACTGGGAGGAACAAAAAGTATTGATTCCTAGGATGATTCAGAACCAAAGGTAGAATTTTAAAAAATGTACTCTAAAATTAAAAGAAAAAACCTACAAACTATTCAGAATCACACATTTGTGATTAAACACCTCAAAACTGCATCATCTCACCTTCCTATTACAAAAATTTGTATTGTACTTTATCAATGCAATATATCTTCCTCAAGTAAACATGATCAGAATTCATTGCTAAAAGATAATTTTATTTAGCTCTAAATTATCTTACTGTTTCATTTTAGTTCTCCTCAATGTTATCAGTATTTCAGTTAGAGATTCCCTCAATGAATAGGAGAATAGAAGCATAAAAACTGATAATTCTAGTGTTAAATAAGTTATCTTGATATTACTCTTTAATTCGCAAAGTTGAAGCTGGGCAGTACTTTTATTTATATATAATCAAAACTCCTGTGCTTTAGGACAACTCAGATTTGAATTCATTTATTCAATAAATATTTACTGAACACCTACAATCTGCCAGGCAAGATTCCATGCTCTGTTTATAGGTAAGTAAAATAAGTGTGACAAAAATTATTTTCTTCTAGGAGCACATATCATAGAATGGAAAATATCAATGAAGTGTAGAATTCTTCCTACTGAAACACTGTTACACTCAATTTCCCTTGCTCTGGGAAAAATGAAGACATTAATAGCTGAACTGGCATTTGGGATTCAGGAAAATGCGAGGAGATATTTTTAAGAAACATAATGAATGACACCTATGTACATATACCTAATTCAGAGCAGGTGGCCACCATAATAAAACACCATTATTTGAAATCCTAATCTAAGGTTTCAAGGAACATTTCAATGCTTTTTAAATTTGTCTTGATGTTTAAACTCAAGAAACATTGCTTTACTAAATGTAAAATTAGTAGACTCCAGGAACATAATATTAAATAACAACATTATTCTTCCCTTGTCTTTCTGAATGTGTTCAGTGGTGCAAAGGGACGACATTCCTTCATTTTTTGTATGATAATCCAGGGTGGCTTATAACATTTCAAGACACCATGTGGTAAGGTAAAGCTGCCTTTAGCATCAAAACATAATCTTGACTCAGGAGTTAAATTCAATGATATGCAATAATAATAATTACTAGTATGTTAGTAGGTGGGACTGCTTTCTTTCCTACAACCAAAAGAAGGTGGAGGAATACATGAAAGGAGGAGAAGCTGAGCTCACACATGGCTAAGTCTCTCTGCATGGCAAGTATGTCCATCCAATTGGTCCTCAGGGAAGACCGAGTGTAAGTTCTTCAGAGCTCACTAGGAACCTATCAGCGGCAGTTCCTTTGGGTTAATTCATTTCTATATACATCTGTTCCTAGAATTTTTTGCAGAGTTAGATCT